AGACAGGAAAGCATCAGGGAGAAGAGGGTAAAAGGGCAACTCAGGGACCGGGGCTAGAGAAGAGGAGGGCTGGGGAAAAGCATGACATTACAGCAATGAGCAGGCTGAAAAGGAACCGCCCCATCCTCCAGAATATCTGGAGGTAGAAACATGGGCCCACCACACCCAAACACCTTCCTAACACTGATGTTTGGAGGAGTAAATTGTGTCCCTAAGATAAGAATGAAGCTAGGATAGATGGCATTTATCTAAGGCAGTTTAAATGCAGGCCCACCAAAGGTGCAGGTGACTTAGCATGGTCCTTCTAGACCTCTGGCTTTAGAAAAGGCAGAGAAGTATCCAATGGGGCCCTGCCCCTCTTTAAAATGACAACTTCTGCTCAAAGAGCTCTGTGGGTATAATGTAATGACTGCCTCTACAGAGCCTTCCATCCACAGATCTCCAGGTGCCCTGGGTGGATGGACTTACCAAGGTGTGGGGCTGGGAAGGAAAATGTCCAAGGTCTCAAGTGCATCATCTCTGAAGATCTGAAGGGGATCGTGTATCCTTGTAACTCTAGCCAGCTGATTTTGGGGCTTGGTTTTCATACACGACACTCTCCTTGTAAGCCTCTGATTTTGAAATGATTTGTTTTAATTTAGAAAATAAATACAGGACAGAGGAGTTTTGAAGTGGGGTGTTTATTTGCTTTGAAGGGATGTGGCCAAATCAAATAGCAATTTCTTTAAACTCTGCATCCTCATGACTGCAATAGAGCCCAAACACCACCATGTTGACTCTGGAGTGTTAAACTGTGCTGTCCAAGCACCACTTCCCCCCAGGCCTCCTTTAGAACATGGGCCCTCCAGGAAAATGCACGCCTCTGGGCCCTTAGAGTGAACAGCTAGGAAGCTGATTTCCCTCGGGAATCAAGATGAGGAGCAAGACCGGGGCAGACTGCTGAGAACAAAATCTATTGACTTTTCACTGGGTTGTCACAATTTCACTGTCCCTGTCAAGTTGCTTATTCCACAGCGTGTGAAATTCTGAAGCAGTTAAGTTGGCACCAGAGTGGTCACAGAGCCCCTTGGAGGGCAACATTATGTTAATACAATGGCTTAGAGCAGTGATGGCGAACATTTTAGAGCTTTCAATGGTACCAACAGACACTGGCACACGTGCCATAGGTTTGCCACTGCTGGCTTAAAGCAAGCTTTCCCGCCACTTATTACGGGCTAATTCTGAAGACTCAAGTCTTGTCTCTATGTTCATCCTTCCAACCTCAATCTGTCCATTAGGGTGCACAGATTCTCCTTCAGTCCCTAACTTGTTTTCAAATAGATGAGAACAGCCCAGTAACAACATGACTAAGAGCAAGGTAACCTGAGCTATGTTAACAAAGTTGCTGCCCACATTGACCAAATAAGGAAGAATTCTGCTTAGCCCGGTAAGAGGAGTAGCTTGGGTCTCACCATCCTGACACCAGTACAGTCTCCATTCCTTAGGTGCAGACTCTCCCTCCATTGCAGCCTCAGGGGACTGGAATCTCAGAGGAGGCAGGACTGTGACAAGGCCCCAGTGCCTCTGAGTTCTTCCACGTACCTCTCGGGCTATGTGTACACAGCGGTGTGTGAAATTACACATGCACACATGAACCTTCTACCACTGTACTGGGCACACTTTTTCTATGTCTGGGACGTCCCTCGTACAGCTGGTAAAACGAAAAGCAGGGCTGGGGGATTCAGCTCAGAGGTTCCGGCTCCTGCCTCACAAGTTCAAGAGCCTGAGTTTGATCTCCAGTGCCACCCCCACCCCCCAAAAACCCCAAAAAACAAAAAGCAGTAGTTTCTGAAGAATTCTACGTGACGCAATTTGTATAATCTAAGAGCGCACGTGGGTTGGAGATGGGTTCCCTCAAGTGGGCCAGTGCTCTGCCTTGTGGTTAAGCCATAAATATACATAAGGAGGGCCCGCCCTGTACGAAAATCATAGGTTTCATGTTTATGGCATGTGGAACTGGAGAAAGACGGGATGTGCTGTGCATACGGCCTGCGTAACTGTGCTGTATTTTGCCAAAAGGATGCTTGAAATCCCCCAGCAACAGCCTGACTGATTTTTCTCATAAGCAAACTCACGAATACCTGTTGGACAGAAAGAGACTAAGAAGGAGGGAGGCTGGAGAAGAATTCCTTAGTTTTCCTTTCTTCCTGACAGCAAGAAGAAAATCATTTCCCCACAGACTCAGACCTCGCCTCACCCAGCATGGATCCAAATTGCAAATAATGTTTTGCAAGGATATAACACAGCCATCCCTCACCACTTCGAGCGCTCATTAATCTTGTTTCCTTCTGATTTTCCCTCATTCCCTTGCCTCTGATATACTGCACTGGTGTAGACTGTGACCAGGGAATTGAAACCGAGTTTCCAAATTTCGGCCCCAAATGTCACAATCCCCCTTCACTCCTTGCATGCTAGGAACAAGCTTGCAAACCTTCTGATCTGGCTGCTGAGCTGCCGCATCCCTTTCTGCTCTGTTTTTTCCTTAGGTCCTGCTGTCTGAATTTTGCTTTCAAGCCCACCACTTAGCACCAGTTAGCTTGGCACAGTGCCCATTGTCCAGAGGCCGCAAAGAGAAACTCAGTGGTGATACCAGCGCAGACCAAACCTTCCCCCACTGCCCCAAGTCTACTCTCCACCCTGCCTCCCCCTTCATGGCATCAAATCAAACTGCAGTAGACTTGACAAATTTATTTGGCATGGTTCATGCAACTATTTCAACCCTAACCGCCTGAAGAGCTGTGCAGATGCACCATGAACAGTGTGGAATCTGCACATTAAACACAGATATCTGGGGGGGAGATCTGCTAATGAATGGGCAGCAGGGAGCACCCTTGCAGTGGAGGATGGGCAAGGCCTGCTGACTGCCCCCACAAGCACAGTAGGATGAGGGAGCCGAGGAGCGGGTGATGCCTAATTGGCAGGCTTTCCATTTTCCTGCCTATTAAGTACCGGGAAGATGCATTTCTAATGGGGGCTTTGCTTCTGCCTTACTCCCTTTATTTGGGGAAGACTTTCTCTAAAACAAAAACTAAAACTGCAAGTTACTTGGTTGATTACTTGGGGAAAGAAATTGAGCCAAGAGTGGGAGGAGGAGGCAAGGAGAGGGAATGCATTCAGTAGGAAAAGTGGAGACGGATGATGCTAAAGACCAGGAAGCTAAATTCATTTCTCAGGAATATCTTCCCTGCAGAATGGATACCAGGGATAAAGTGAGGGAGGACAACATTCTATCAAAATGTGCAGTGCTAAGGTATTTCCAAAAGCAGATTTTCTACAAATGGTATTTTAAATAGCATCCTGGTCCATCTGTGTGCTTTTAAAATCGGCTTATGCTACAGTATCCCTCTGGCCAGGGCTGCTTAGTCATTGAGCCTGGACAGGGAGACAGTCAGGTGAGCCTCATTCCTCTTCCCCAGAGCCAAGCCTGCTCAGCAGCTGGCACTGGCCCACCGACTGAGCTGCTCGGTTTCACTGGTTTCTTATCAAAATGCCAGGTGGAGAGAGAAGGTGCAAGTGGGGTGGAATGAGGACACTCAGCCCTGGATCTCCCCACACCCATTCTGCTTGCCGTTCCCCACTGATGTCTGGCAACCTTTCCTGAAACCGAGTCAATGGGAAACCAGACTGGGCCCACATATCAAGGTGGGGTGTCTTTCTGTTGCTAAGTACTTCACTTTCCCTCCCGGGGAAATGGAGAAAGTGTGTGCGTGTGTGCATGTGTGCGTGCGTACATGCGTGTGAGACAGATAGAGACAGAGAGACTTGGTAATATCTAGAAAGCACAGTTTTCACACGAATGTTGCCATGTTACTATGGCGATTTTAATGGGGAAAAAAAACCTCTACTCCTTTAAAAACACACATTTCCCGAGTAAGACTGCCAACATTAAAGTTCAGGATTTTCTGGGTCTAAGACCTCCAGTTGTACCAGTAGTCGTAGAACAATTTGTCTTGGGACACACAGTGACAGAACCTGAGTTGGTTCCTTTTGCAAATGCCCTTTGGCCACCCATGCCTTCTTTTGTTAACTCAGAACCCGACAGCCCAAGGCCTGGTGGAACTTTAGCACTGAAGAGGAAGAGACCCTTCTGCTCACTCCCAGTTCTCTTCCTGGGCAGGACAAGCAGCCTCTGGGAATCCCCAGGATATCAATGCCTTCCTAACCCAAGACTCAGCCACAGTCTACAGGTGCCACAGAGCCTCTGCCCTCATCTCACCCCCATCCCTACCCAAGTGACACACTGGATGCTTCCAACCAGCCTTCTCCACGCCGAGCGCAGCAGCAGCTGCAGAACCAGAATGCCACATGTCTTAAGAAAGCTGAGTGCCAGACACTTGTCCCTATGGACAACAAAAGCCCCATATCCGTGGACCCCAGTTCCTAGTGCTGCAGACTCTGAGGATACCAGCCGAGAGCATTCAATGCCTCACTGCTAGGCGTGCTTGCTGGTTCAGATCCCAGCCCCAATGAACTGAGCGTGCCTCGTTATTTATTGTCCTCTTTTTTCTCTGAGACATTGTGATTCCCTCTCAGGATTTGTGCTCTTTCATTTCCAGACCTTGGTAACTCCTGAACTGCAGCTTCATGTGGTTTTGTGATTGTTAACCCAGCATGGGGAAGGGACTTAGGCCATAAATGCTCAATGAGTGCTGTGTGGGAAGACATGGATGGGGAACACATTTTCCCCTTCATTTGTAGTCAGAGAGCACTCTGCAAGAGCTCTCTCTCTCTCTCTCTGCTGTGCAACTTGCAACAGGAGCCAGACTATAAGGGAAATGGTATTTTCCAATTGCTTTAGCGTAAGAAAGAAGATTTTCAGGGTCAGTATCCCTGGCCTCCAGAAATTATTTGAGCCTCAATGAACAAGGCCTTCTCTCCTGTGTGGGATCAATTGGAAACTCCTCTTGTCTCATCCCTGCTGCACCTGTCCAGCTTGCCTCAGTGGTAAGAAAATGATTTACCTTGTGGTTCTTGCCATGTCGGTATACCATCCAGTCTTCACCATTAGTGCTGACCTCCAGCTTGTAGGATTTGACATAGTAGCCATTCTGGGTTTCCCTGGAAATTGCACCCTGTGTTGCAATGGCCGTGAGCATGGTTAGAAAGCGTAGGTCCACCTGGGAAGAGATGAAGAAAGGGGAAGAGTAAGGGGGCCATCACTCTCAACAGGAGGCAACATCTGGCTTTTTTTTTTTCTAAAAAAGACACTGCTGTCATACTTAGCTCATAATCAAGTCTGTGATTCACAAGATGTATTGGTAATTAGTATCAGTTTCCAATTCCACTGGACAATTAAACTCAACTTACTTGACAGTAAATTGGACACTTTGAAGATATAACTTCATTATTTTTCTTTCTTTTTCCTGTTTTGCAAAAGTGAATAGCCAGTATTCAGTTTCTTCTAACCACTGAGGATCTAGAATTATGATCTCTCCTTATTAAAGTATGGCCTGCCTTAGACTGAGAAAGCAGATGTCATTCTAAAGCAGCAATGAATAGCTAAATCCACTCTGCTCCAATCCAGTCTAATTCAATCCAATTCACTCGAAATGCCCTGGTTGCAAAAGTCACAGCTCATAGCTGCCTCCCATCCCCACGCTCCCTCACTCCATTGTGTCTTTAGTTGCTCAGGTCACCCAGGGGTCAAAGGGCATGCAGAGCCTGCCCAAGCAATTAGGCTTATGCACCAAGTCCTAACCTTTTGCTCTCCAGGAAGGATTGCCAACGTTTTGAGGTGCCTCCTTTTTTTTTACAGTGCAAACCCATTTGGAAATTGCTGGATGTTTTACTTTGCAGGCCACGGTGTTTCTTAATGGCAGCCTCCATGTGGCCAAAAGTTAGCCCCTGCACATGAGCCTAACCTCAACTTGGCTGGCACTGACTGGCACTCAGTGTGTTCACAGCATTATGAAACATTCAAAAGGAGTGCGCAGTGCCATCTACATGAATGAGAGACAGGTGGATAGCAATAGGAAAGTATGTGATTAAGGTCCAAAATAAGGGAGTGTAATTAATGGCTTGCCAATGACAAAGGAGAACTTTCTGGAAGCTTTGCAAGATAAAAGAAGTTTTGGAGAGGCAGAGAGGAGAGACAGTGACAAATGGCCTTGGGGTTGTGTTGTTGGAGGCTCTTGGGCTCCCTGGAGTTCATAAGTGATCTCTCTCCCTTTCTTGCACTATGCTTCTTAGATCAGAGGTCACCATGTCACATCAGAGCTACAACAGGCTTGTCAGTGGGTCACACGGCTGTCTGTGTGTGTGTCATAAAAGCAGATGCTGCTCTGGTATAGGACTAGCAGTTTGCTAGCGATCCAGCCAGGCTTCATCTCCCTGTTTACTTCTTCCCAGGGGATGAGAACTGGACCCGTCTGTAGTGTGGGAAGATTACTCAACATGAGCTGCAAGACTTGTTCAGAAAGAAAGCAAACAATAGTCTGAAAAGATGCTGCAGAGCATCTGGGCGACATGAGTTTCGTTCCCTGCGGTGACATTTTCCCATGTGTTCTTCTGGTAGCTATGTGCAAAACCTTCCTGGCAGGGCTCCCTCCAAATAGCAAAGATCAGGAGAAATTGCCATATTCAGCTGCCACCCAACAAGCCTGCCCTCAGGAAAATGCTTCCCCCATCTCTGATGCCCCTTCTGTGCCAAGAACGAGGAAGATCAGCAACCATATATGAATGTTTCTTGGATACTGATAGGGCAAACAGTATCCTGGCCAAACAATTCTCCCAAACCCATTCATCACCAGGGTAAGGATGACCTCCTCCTAACCCATCAATTTATCCCTGAACACAGCACAGTGACTGGCACAATCTTTTTGCACCTGGTGTACATACTTGTTATGATGATGAATGCCTGAGGGGAGTTCTCAAGCATTCTGTGTTGTTTTCCTTATGTTCTTGGTCCACTCTAGCTGAAGGGCCACTCTTACTGCCACACCAGGGCACACACACTCTGCACAACCCCTGATATCTGAGGAAGTACCTGGAGATACTCCTTGTTGGAATCCAAGTTGGGGGTCCAGCCATTGTCATCACCGTGGAGCCTGCTTTGTTGAGGGGTCCACCTCCCATCCGAATAGGTTGATGAGGCACTGATCTGTTCACTTGCAATTCGGCCAGACTCCATTCCCAGAGGGACATTGCACTGAAAGTCTGGGAAGTGAAGACGGTCAGGGGGAGAGTTAGGTGATTCAGCCTCACACTCTGGGGACCCCCCCACACTGCTTCCTTGTACGGACAAGTCCTTGCAGGCATTCCCTTATCTGAAAGACTCTAATTTCGAGCTCACATTTTAAAAACAACCCTAGCCACTCACAGAGCTTGACAACCCCTCTGGGTCTGAAAGAAACTAGATTGGACTAAAAGAAATTAGTTGATAGATAAATAAGAATCATCATACAAATTAAAAATACAATTTAAAACACAAGAACTGATATCCCTGCAGGCTACGGATGCTCTCAGATGCCAGATGCACTGTGGCTGCCATACAGGTGGTTGAGCGGTAGACTCGTGGCAATTTGGGTGGGCTGCTCAGTCGTGGGAAGACAGCTTTATCCATAAACACCCAGGAGGCACTTCTGCATCTCTCTCTCACCCAACTGTTGCATGAGTTCTGGCACAGAAGACAGACATTACAGGTACTTATGCCTGTCTCTGGGAGAACTCTCCAGGAGCACATGCATGTCGCACTCTATTTCCCTGCACCACCTGCCTGGGCAAACAGACCCAGAAGTCACTCACTCTGGCCTTAGTGCCACCTTTTCAACTGCTGTTCTTCCCTGGTTGCTATGGACACTGGTCAAATATTTGCGTATGCATGTGTTCCAGCAATTTTTCCCAGTATCAAACTTACTGTTAGGTTCTGTGACTGGTCATTTGCAGAATATGGTACAATTAGCCTTACTCATTTTTTATTTTCTGTTAAATTACTTCCATGATCTCTTACATAAATGAAAGCTAAACCCAGAGCAGAATCCAGAAACTTTCCTGCGGGTCAGGCTGCCATGTCTATTGTTAAATTGGTTATGAAAATGTCTACACCTGTGGTAGGATTTCCTCAGCTCTCAAGATCCTTAGTGCTTCTTTCTTTCTTTCTTAAAGAGATCATTTGGGCTTCTGAGTAGAAATGGCAGCACATCTGAAGCACATGGCCAAGAGGAGTGGATTTGAAGATAGGGTCAGGGCCAGAGACTGATGGCCTACACTGCAATTTTCATGACAGTGGGGGCCAGAGCAACAGTTTGTAATGTCTCACACAGTGCCTGGCCTGGGTATTTAGAAGCTCCTAGAGTCCAAACAGTTGTATTGTCTGGCCAAGGAAACTCAACCTAAGGCCAGAGATGTTTAATATCAAAATACATATACAGAGAGAGAGAGAGAGAGAGAGAGAGAGTGCTTTAAAATGCCTCAGTTTTGCAACACTGGCCTCTGAGGGTTAGAGAGGGAGAACAATAGTCCCAGTCTCAAACACATGAGCTCCTATGTAGATCATCCTAACTTGGAATATATATATAAAGTTTCTTTTTTTTTAATGAGCACCTAAATGGACACTTTTCTTAGCAATCTCTGCCTGTTAAGAGGATGTAGATGCCATTCCTTGAGCTCAAATGCCATAGCAAATTCTGTAGGGTTCTGCCTTTGTCCCCAGTGGGCTGCCCTGCAAACCCTACAGCTCTGATGCCCTCATCTGCCGACTCACTCTCTAGTGGTTCTTGGTGCACCAGGTAGTAACGTGCAGAGAAGCCATCCTTGGCCACTGCCATATCTGTGTGAAAGGTCAGGGACAGGATTCCTGTTGACGAGCGGAGTTCAGAGGGTGTTTTGGTCCCACAGTACTTGCCAATCAGGGGGCCAACTGGACATAGAAGAAAGAGACAGGGCAGAGGAAATGGAAACATTATACTTGATTTTCAATACATTCTCCCATCCCATCTCTGCGTGTCATCCCATGTCTTTGCATGCCTGTACATAAAAACCAAGATGTGCTTTAAGAACAATGTCTAGTGGTTTTCCTGCACATTAAAAGTGCTGGCTTCATTCTGTTCTTGTAGCCCTGGGAGATGGACCAAAAAGCTTCCATTATAATAGCCATCCTTCAGAAGAAGAAATTGAGTTCCAGAGGGGTTATGACACTATGTTTCCTTGTTCTCACTGCTAGGAAACAGCAGAGACCCAAATGTTAGCTTCCTGATTAAATCGTATGCTTTTCCCAAGAGATGAAATTGTTCTTGCTTAGTCATCAAGTCTCTCTTCTACTAGAAAATACTTAGAATAACTGCAAAAGTGAACAATTCATTTCCTTTCCAATACTCACTATCCCCAAGATTCTCAGACTTCTTGTGGCTTTGAGTAATGCACCTTTTAAGCATCTGCTACTATATTAATAATAACATTCTAGAAATAATGATGGTAATAGCAGCCAGCTTACATGGCTAAATCAAAGATAAGCACATAAGCAGCTTTCTAAGGCTGTACAGGATTTGAGCCCAGTCTGTCTAGTTCTAGAGTCCTTGGCCACTGAGTCACTTTCTATCCTGACAACTTGATGTGAAAAAAGACATCAGCCAAAGGACTTTCCATCTTCTCAGTCTAAAGAAAATACCTCCAAGAAAACAGACCACATTTCTATAATTTCTCTCAAACCAATCCTTGGAGAAAAAAAGAGAAAGTCATTATGGCTCCCACGAGAGCCTTTGTTCTCCCTTCTTGTAATTACTAAAGCAATTCACAGACAAAGGCCAAGAAACTAAGTGCCTTGTGACAGTGACGTCACTCACCGTGTGGAATGCCATCCCAGATGTCCAGCCAATCATATTTGCAGTCTCCCTCTCCCACCTGCAAAGGGTCATGCTCCAGGTCAAAGGTCAGGAACTGCAGGATGATCTCCATCTTGGGTTTGGCCAGGATGGTAAAAGTGCAGTCCAAGTTATGTGGGTACTTTTCAGGAAACCCAGGAGATTCGATGGTCCCATTGGGGCTGGTGAAGTTTTTAGAACAATCTTCAGAGCCTGTGTACCAAAGAGAGCTGCAGCATTAGGAAGAAGAAGGCTTTCTTTGCTGCCCTTGTTGCAAGGGTTATTTAAATGTTTGGGCCCAAATCCCCCTACTCATGAGGTTTTTGTTTTTACTCAAGGGGCTTTGGAGCAAAGTACATACTCTCCTTCTCTGTATTTCAAGCCCTCAAGCCAGCCCCTCTTTAGGACAGAAGTTAGGGAGGCTCAGCAACTTGCTCTCCATATTAAGAGTAAGAACAGCATTCAGGAATGGAGGGATAGGGGAGTGGAGAGACGAGAGAAGACGAAAGAGAGGGAAAGAGAGAGATCGATCTTGCAAAGAGGAACAGAGTCTTCTTTCTCAATCACTCAGCTGCTCTCTCCAGAAATGTAAATTATTTCAATCCTTAAGGAAGGCTTGCTGGTTGCCAGCAGGGAAAACAATGTTACCCCTTATTTATTGCTGACCTCAACACTAGCCCCCATTGTACACAGCCAACTAAGTGGCCCTTCTCCCTTCGAGACCCAAGGTGCCTCAGGGGAGGGGCAAAGGGGAGCTTGGGTCTCATTCATGTCATGACTATATTAAAACGAGCGGCTCTGTAATGGCCAGACAATTAACAATCGACGTTTTTTAGCCGGTGGATCACAGTGGGGTGCCAGGGATGTTAAAGGCCGCTCCAGCAGCAAGTTTGGAAAAAGGCAGCAGCGTATTGACATTTGGAAGGCTTCTGGTTCCTTTGTGGTGGAGATGGCCTTGTTTCTCTCCTAAGCTCTGTGTCCACTTTCTGGGGACACTTAGGGGTGTCCTGATTAAATGCAGCACTCTTTCACAGCCTGATGCAAGCAGGGACAGCAGCAGGAGCTCCAAAGAGGATCACAGCCACCATATCTCCCGCTGCCTCTAGGTGGAGTGCTGTTAAAAGAGCCCTTGTGCTTTAACCAGCCACACTTTTCAGAGCAGAACCCTGCGAAGATCCTGGGCGTACAGAGAATCAGACTCCCGGACCCTGAGATATGCACAGAACAAGAATAGGTCCAATTTAAGACAGCTGATGTAAATGCTGCCTTTGGTATGTTCAGATTTTAAGAGTAAGAGAAGGAAGCAGGATTTATGAGGAGGATAATAGATATTCTAAGCATGAAGGAAGAAAAAACACAGAAATTCTCAATAAACCAGGTGTTTACTGGCAGGAAGTATCCTCTAGGGTATGAGCTGAAGTATAACTATGTGATGTCGATACGTTGATCTTAACCTGCAGCGATGTCTTTATCGGCAGCTCCTGGAGCAGGCTCCTTTGCAAGTCTCTTTATTGACTATGGCTTTCTGGAAAGTAGCAAACGTCTGACTAGGAAAAGGTGGCATGCAAATACATGAGAAGAGGGCAGACAGGACAGGCTATCCCAATATCCACCACCTATACATCTGTGGCCTCCTCTATTCTCCCATGCTGACACGAGGCAGGAGTGAACCTTCACGGGTTCTTTGGAAGCTTTAAGTGCAGCATCCTGGAGACTCTGTGCTTCATCATTTAGAGGGCTGGCAGCGGCAGGGCAGGCCCGAGAGATGTGAGAGGGCAGCCAGGCCCGGAGGGAGGAGAGGGGTGCCCCCCCTCTGTTTACCAAAGGGCCTCAAAGTCCTGAGGGCCTCCTCAGTGGCCTGGGATGATGCAATTTGACAAAGCCAAGCCAGCTGGCAGGTCTTCAGGGGGCCAAGAGGAATTTTGAAAAGGTTATAGAGTTTGTGGCTGCTATGCAGCCTTCTCTACATGGGCCACTGAGGGAGCCTCACATAGGACCCGGTGGAAATTAACTCTCTATTCACAGCTGGCCTGAGAGCTAGAAAAGCCATCCTGATGTTTTTCTCTTAGAGTTTGTCCTATTGTCATTCCCTTCGAAGGCAAGAGAATCTTTACCTCTCCCCTGGTAGGGAATTCAGGGTGGGCTCTTCCTTTGCTCCCTCTCATTGGTGGGGACAAAGGCTTCCATAATAGATACCTGGTGGGTCTGGGTCAGGCCTGGAGAATGTGAGATTCTAAAGCATCCAGTTTCCAGGGTCCTGGGTCCTGCTTTCCTACAAGGAATTTTTCAGCCTTGGGTACTGAAGGGAAAAATCGTTATATTCGTCAGGAAAACTGCTTCCAATTTTATCATTTTTATGCAGAAAAATCAAGCTTGTCTATTAAGAGGATGTATTTTTCTCTAACTGCCCCACAGTCGAAAACATCAGAAAGGCAGCTGAGTATCCAATGTGGAGAAGAAAGCTCAGAAAAAAAACAGACAAAGTGAGTCTCGAAGAAATCTGCCTAATCCAGGATCCGTTTCTGTGATTTAAAAACAATTTAAAAAAAAAACTCAGTCAACAAATACTCAGGTCCACTCAGTGCTTTCCCACAGAAGCTGGAGAATTTGGGTTGCATGAATGATTTCATAACAAAGAACTCTGGCATGGAAAAATGACCACTGTGCATCCTCCGCTGTAAATTTTAAAGTAACTGCAATTGGAAGAAGATTCTACACAAATAAAGATATGAAAATGTGGTGGTTTCAGCCAAAGTTGGCCTTGGCTTGACTACAGAAGGTGAACTTGGGTCCTGATTTTTAGAGTGAGGATAGTAGAAGTTTCAGGTTTTCTCTGTCTGTGAATGGGGTTAGAAATTGCAGTTTCAGAAATGTCACTAGGCACCAGGAAGAAAAACCTGATCTTGAATTCTATTCAGAGGAACATCAGAAAAAAATGAAACCCAGAATAAACACATTGCACTGTATCCAGTGTTACTTTTGAAATTACTCAAGAATTCCTCTCTACTCTGCTGAGGATTGGGTGATTCGAGGTCTTCTGAGTCTGAGTTGCTTTGGCTTACCCTCTATTGGTGGATGGTCTGGTAAGGTAGAGGATCTTTTATACTTCATGTGCACAGACACAGACCTTCCACTCCAGCCACATGTCCCATGTCCATCTCCGCATTGTGGTTTCACATCATTCAGTGTAACTCTGCAGCACAGCCTTGCCAAAGAAAGGCTGCCACAGCCCTGTGTGCGGCTGCCTGCGTATCTGTGGTTAGCTTTCCCCTTCTTTCTTTTTATGAATCCAACTAGCAAACATAGCTGTGTTTGTTTGGATTTCTTCAGCAAGTCCACCCATTTCTTTCATGTTCTGTGGATGACGTAAACTTTGTATATTTTCCCTCTGGACTGTAACCGTGGAAACATGGGTACAAGAAGTGGCACCTGGAAGAATGCTCATCTGTCTAAACTTCTTAGTTTTGGGTTTTGCATCTTTGTGAGTTTTATACACGATGAGAGCTGCCCTTTCAGATAGGCACAATGGCAGGTATGGGTGGCCCTGAGAAGGCTCCTGTGCTCTCATCTTCTTTCATTCCTGTTTACAGAAGCATGGCTGCTGGCAGGGTTGATCCTGCAGCGGTCTCTTCTAAAGGCAACCTCAGTCCTGGAAGCAGGTTCTCTCTGCCAAGGCACCACTGTTTCCAGGCAGTTCACAGACTTGTTGCTTCATTCAAAATTCTACTTCAGCATGTCATCCAAACAGCAGTGTTGAATTATGATATCCTCTTGTGTGTTTTATCTTTTAATATCCTCCTTTCAAAAGTGCATGATGGATAGAGTTACTGTTCCCTTATTTGGTGGTATTCTGGAGAATGTGCCATCATGCCTTGTGAAATGCTAACTTGGGAGACAGGAGACTGGAAGTGAGGTGAGCTTTCATGGCTGCTCACCCTTGTTCTGACTTCCTTTGGCCAGCTCCCTGGAAGATCTTATTTGGGCTGTTTCCCTTTCACAGTCAAGACGGTGGAGGCAAGTGACAAATTTGGCACTAGGGACCTTGCCAATGATAGACTCTAGAAAGCCCCTTGATTGTTCTCATTTTCATAACCACAGCACGAAGTGTTTTCCCTGAGTTTTCCTTTCCATTTACATATATGTTCATCCAGTAACATCAACTATGCATGTGCTGGGGACCAAGGGTTTACACACTTGCCTGCACCAGTAGAAGAGGGTAAACAATTTTACTCTTTCTCTTGCCCCTCTCTCCACTTTTCCTTCGAGGGGATGACCCACCAGTGCTGGTGGCTTTGATCTAGATCTAAACAGGCCTCAAGGCATATGGACCAAGCTACTAAGGGCCTTCAACCCAGTCCCAAGCTTCACACACTCACATATCTTCAGTACCCTGTCACTTCATTGTGGCCAAAAGCATGAAAATTCACAACAGATAGGCAATCTTGGGATTTGCACCCCCTGATAGCCTGGGTTCCCACACTGGCATGACATTTAATTCCATCCTCTCAGGCCAGTCCAACAAATATTTAGATAGAGTGGATATAAAAAGTGCTTTCAGCAGCTACTGGTTCCTTTCAAGAACTGTTTAATGAAAACGAAAATATATATGAATAGTTCCCCTCACACTGAACTCAACAGGCGCCGGCTGTGGGCCTCTCGATGACAGGGCTGACAACTTCCCCTTCAACCAGACTCCGCTGCGAATTGTAAAACTCAGGCTGCTGCAGAGAGGCCCTCGGAGATGGAGCCAGCCAGAGCCTCTGTGGTGGGGAGCAGGCAGGACCAAACAGAAGTGGAGGCTGTAGCTCCCTCAGCCAGCCTTGGATACTGAGTGCCACCAGAGAGAAGGACATGTTGCTCAGGGAGCATTGTGTGAACTCAGCTCTGCTGTTCTCAGTCATAGAAATGCACACTGGTCAATATGCTCAGTCCTAGAGGAATCTCAGGAGAACCTACTGGAATCAAGCAGTCATCCTCTCTGCCCTCTTCTGCTATCTTGTTGCTATCTTCTGTATCACGGATGTAAAGAAGGGTCTGCTGGGCAGAGGTGGTGGAATGGATGGCCAAGGACAATTTCTAGGAGCCATATTTTAATTGAAAAGCTAAAGGGTGACCCCAACGAGGGGACTGTGGTGAGATCTGTGGAGCCTCTAAACAATAAAAAGGTCATGTCCTCTAGCCCCATGCAACTCTAAATAAAGTCAACATTAAGCTATGAAATAATTGAGAAGTTTGTCCAAATTTTGCTGTTTCCCAAGAAGGTTAGTTTGACTTAAAAAAATACAAAAATCAGATTCTTTCCAAAAACCTTTTTTTCCATGTATTTGGAGCCCCCAATTCTGGTGCTTAGTCTGCTCCCTCATGTTGCATCATGGCCTGAGCCAGCTTTCCATCTCTGGGCATCTCGAGTACAGCTTGAGCCTCTTTTCCTCGGCAACCACTCAGGAGGATGAAGGTACAACCCTTCTCACCCATCAGTCCCCTCTCCATCCCACCTTCTCTAAAACGCTCATCCCCCAACTCTACCAAGGGCCACACTGACCTGTCTTGAAGATCTCATAGCGCAGGGAGAAGCCTGCCCCCTGTCGGGCATAGTCGGATGTGAACTTGATGTAGAGCATGGACCCTGAGGAGATGATGGTGGGCGGGGCAATGTTCCCACAGTGCTTGCCCAGGAGGTCTGCAGACTCGCTGTCTCCATCCCGAATCTCAATGAAGTCATACCTACATGGGATGGACAAAGGGACACAGATAAGAAAAGATCAGCCTGAGCGGAGAAAGACATCTCTTCCAGCTTCATCAGCTTGCAGTCGGTCAGGTCTTTGGAGCAGTAAACAGAGGACATCTTTCTTGCCTGTGTCAAAGGCAAACAGATGCAGGAAATTGCACTGTTGCGTTAAAGTCACACACTGAGTGCATGGGTGGGAGGCCTTATCTCTTGTTTACATAAGAGCAACAGTGTCATTCAAAGATCTTAAAACAAACACTGTTTCCTTCTTTCTCTAGCACCATTTTTATTTCCACTATGATCTATTTGAATCTTAGTTTTTCCTTCTTAGCTCTGTGTCACTGCAAGTTACCTCCAACCCCTATGAGCCTCAATGTTCTCATCTGTAAGATGAGAAGAAAAATATCCACTCCAGAAGTTTGGGATGGAAATAAAATAAAAATATATATACACAGTATGATACTGCAGATGTTTCAGAGATATTTATTTTCCGGTCCCCCATTTCAATTTTCTCCTGGGTCATTCTCTCTTCTCTTATTTCTCTTGGATTGAGAGTGACAAAGACTCCCTATGCAGGTGGGCCACCTCACTCCCTGAGAGGACTCTGCCAAGTTCACCTCTGCAGCATCTAGTCAACTACACTTTTGAAAAAGGAATCAGCACATATTAAGTAAGGCAATAAAAACCATTCTCCCACTGTAGGGATGAATCCCTGGGGACCCCTGTCTGTGCGCACACAACTATCAGTCCCAGGAAGAGGCAGGGTGGGCTTCACTCCCTGAGCCAAGGCCTGTGCTCCTTTCCAACAGAGCAGGGGTGAGTAGGCCTGGCCAGTTTCACGGGTTGCCACACAGTTTCCCACTTTATCCTGATAGACACCCATTTGTCCATCATGGCACATGCTCTGGCAATCCTCACTGTGCCCTGCCCATGCTCCTTTCTAGGATCCAAGCTGACACCTTTGTCACAACTGCTGAGGTGGGAAACTTCTTCCCCACCAGCTCCCTTCAATTTGCTGGGCACTGTGCTGTTATTAACTAAAGCTATCCATCTTCCTTGCCTTCACTTCCTCTGGATTTATTTTGCATCAACCTGTTAAAACACCACTTAGGAATCTCTTCCTCATGGGTGGCAAGAGGGGCCAGGATTTGCCCCCTGGGTTGTGCCTGAAGTTCTGTGACATATGGGGGTCTGTGGGAGCTGACAGTCTGCAGAAGTGGCTGATGTGCAGTGGAGAGGCCTGAGGCCTCACTTCAGCCCGTGGGAGCCATGTTTCCGATTCCTCAGCCACTTCCAATAAATAGGCGTGTGAAGGAAGAATGAGGAGGGGATCAGGAGTTGTTCCTTCTTGGACCCAGAGGGCTGGGCTTGTGCAGCTCAAAGGAGGGCTGTAGCTGATTCCAGTCTAGGGAAGTTGAGCTGGGCCCCTAGATTGTGGGGCAGGTTGAGAAGGCCTGGGTGGGGGAATCTGCTCAGGTCTGGGATTTTGGTGTGGGAGGTGGCAGACTTCTTTGTTTCCAAATCAAAAGTGAAAGGATGCTGAGTTTGATGTCAGGGGAAACTCCCCAGACCTTCTGGAAAACCCCTCCTCGATATTCCTACCTCGAGGGAAACACTGATGGACAAGCAGTCCCTCTCCAGGAGCAACGGGGAGGCTGCAGCTGTGTGCACCTGTATTCATTAACCAGGCACCCGGCTCACCTGGAGGCTGGTGTGCAGGGCTCTGGGCACCAGAGTCCCAGTCCCGGAAGCAGACAGAGCTAGGTGTGGATCCAGCTTGACCACACTTTAGCTGAGTCTTAGAAATGGGGAGGACAAAAGTAAAATAGGGATGGTAGTAGGACTTTTCTCCTATGGTTGTTATGAGATTTAACTGATTGAATCTAATCTGTGCATAGTGTTACTACTTTGGTGTAAGAAATTTAAGTGCTGTTTGTGGTATTTTTCACAACCACTTAAGAGGCTGAGTGACTTACCCTACAAGAGAGCAAATGAGCAGAGGTACAATATAAGCAGGGATGTAAATCTGTTGAAACATTTTGGAAGGCATTTTTGGCAAAATGTGATAGAAGTTAATATGTACATAGCCTTTAATCCAGTGGTTCTTCTGCTGGAAATTTTTCCTAAGAAAATAACACAGCAATTGTGCCAAGATGTATTTGCATCTTTGTGCATACATTAAAAAAAAAAAAAACATGTGAAGAGTGAGGAGATGTTTTGTTTATAAATAGCAGGATGTCAAAAAGCTCATCTCTAAGGGAGAGTAAATCAATTGTGGTAAACTGTATTTATGAAATGAAATATTCTTTTGCTATAGTCAATGGTGTTGCAAATCTAGAATTTTTGCTTTTAGGGAAAAACTGCTCATGATATACTGTTAACTTAAAAAGGTAGGGTTTTTAGAAGTACATTTTATAATAATAATATATACATTTATGTCCTGTCTGAAAGACTACATGCTAAAATATTAATGGTACTAAGATACATGGATGGTGGGATAATTGGTAATTTTTACTTTCTTCTTGGTTTTCCTCTTTTATCTAACTTGCTTCTGATATGCCCCCATTTCTCTAGGAAGCTAAAAGTGTATAGAGTAAAGTTACTTTTCTGAAGTTCCTCTTTTCAAAGTAGAAGAGACAAATAAGCTCTGAAGGTTTATCAAATGAAGAAGTAAATCACCACCATCACCATCCTTACTTATCTCACATACCTCAGTGAGGATCAGAGGAGTCAGGGCTTGTCCGGATACTTAGAATAGTGTTGGGGACAAGGCCCACCCTCAATAAATAGTTTTTAAAAAATAGTGTAAGTAGTCTCTGGGTTGGCGATTCCAATGCGAAGGACAAAGAGATGCCCTGCCCCTGTACTGGCTTGTTCCTCAGAAGTGGTTGGCTAATCACCCATGGAGTCATTTAGGGGATTTACAAAATCAGCCAAGAGGCAAGGTTCCCACAAATGCCATCGCTGCAAGCTTGCCTTGGCTTAATGTATATACCACCTCCAATCCAGCCTTTTAAAATGTGGCCACCAACAAATATATCCTTATATGTCTACATACACATATATTGAGGAGATATACTTTCAAAAAAAGGTTCCTTTAATTCAGTCATATTATAAATTCTCTTTCTGAGCTTGTTAGTTAAAGGACCCCTCTGGTGAAGCCTTTTGTGAAGCAAATCATCAGCCCTTCCTTGAACTTCTTAGAAAAATAGATTTTCCTATCAGGTTTGCTTGGGGGAAAAGAGACTAAGAGTTACAATTGAGCTTAGGTGGCTGAACTCCCCTCTCTTTCCAGTGTCCTGGTTCTGCCCTGTGGACAAGCCCCACTTAACCACATGGCCTTCTGGCTGGGCTTTTTATATAAAGGGCACACTCCAAATGACATGCTGACTTCACACAGAATGTCTCATTTACCTCCCGCATGACTGACTCATTTGGGGAAATTTTTTATTATTAAGGATTTGTTACAGCTGGAGTAAATCTCCTTAGAAATTTCAGTGTTGTCAGGTTCATTTGTGATGAGGCTTAGGAAGTTTGTGGCCTTGGAATAAATATGGCTTTGCAACCAGCATTGAATCTCCAGTGTTTGTTTGGTGAAAGAATCTGGGGTATGGATTCAGCCCTCACCCCAAGGATAGCCAAGTAGGATAACTTGAAAAGCTGCTCATATCACAGCATGTTATTCATTTTTCCTGAAGGCAACATAAGCAAGCTAACAGACACATTAACTACTGTGTTTGCATTTCATTATTCATAATCTCTCTCAAATGAAAAATTCCTTTCAAAGCTTTAACACTATCTCTTATTATTTTATTTATTTGTTTATTTATTTTTCTGAGCTGGAGTAGCTGTCTCTACTCTCGGTTCTTCTTTTCTCTCTAACATGGTTTCCTGAGTACCTTCTTACTTTTCACCAGCAATTCTGACAGCTGCATGTGGAGCATTTGTCTAGAGAATGTTTTCTTTACTTTATTTCTCAACCTCAAAATCTTAATTTCTTCTTCCCAAACCCACATCTGGGGTGTGGGAATCTTGACAGTGGAATTAATTTTAAAAGTACACAGGAGAGACGTGAACAAGCGATAATTTCATCTCTTGCTCTCATCACTGGACAAACATGAAAAGAAGCTTCTTGCTGTCCTAACTATCCATACCCGTCTTCTGCCTGTGTTGAAAGATCCACCATTATGGATGGGCACAAACTGAGAGTGAAAGCACTTCTACACCAGAGTACTCAGGTCCTAAATCAGAGTGCTGTGCCTATTCTTTGGGATTTGGGTCTACACACGAAAATGCCGGTGCCTGAGTCTAGAAGTCAAAACACTTGTCAGCCAGGCAATGAGTCCTTTCATGCTGCTTGTCTCATAGGACGGTTATAGCATTTTGTAGATAGCAAGCTCTTTCCTACCACAGGCCTTTGTACTTGCTCTTTCCTCTACCTGCAGTACTCCTTGTTAGCCTTGTCTGTGGCTGTTTCTCATCCTTCAGTCCTAAATGCTAATGTCACCTCCTCAGAGAAGTGTGCGCTGACCACCCTATTTCAGATGATATACCCTTCTTCTTTATCTCACTCGACTCTCATTTCTTTTATAGCCATTACTATAATCTAGAAAGGTCTCGCCAATATTTTGTGCATTGTTTATGATCTGTCTCCTGCATTTGACAGTGAGCACCACAGGGGTAATGCTTTTGCCTTTTCACTGCTGGATTTATATTTGTTGGCACCTGGCACGGACTGGAGGAATCACTGCTAGCTGAATGAATCAATGAATAAGGGGCTTGCGGTGGGTGCTGCAGGTTGAGAAGACGCTGGCCAGCATGACACTTTTCCAAAGAGTGTAATGGGCTGGTCCACATTAGATCCTCTGCCTTTGGCCCCAACACACTCCCTGAGCTATTCTGGTTGTATCTGAAAACCCAAATGTTGCCTCCTGACACAAAAACATGAAATATAACATTTTGTGGGGAAGAAACATCTCAGATCACGCTGACAGCA